TAGAGTATCTTATATTACAGATGTACGACTGAAGTCAATTTGATGAGGGCTTTGAAGACATTAATATTTTTGTGTTTGGGGAGAGTGATATGATCTAGCATACTCTATAGGAAAAACAGATGACAGTGATAAGAAGGAACAAAATTGTAGAAGGAAAACTGGCCAGGAAGTGACAGATATTGACAGCATTAACTTAGTGACAGACATGGTCTAGAAGTAGAGAAGATAGATGAGATAGAGCAAGCTTTAGACAAGAGATTCAGTCTCAGGCACAAGAGACATAGATGTTTCACAGCTCGTCCCTGCCAATGAGGATGGAGATGCTTTGAAGGAAGATCTGCTTTGGGAGAAAACAAATGATATGAACTAAGTGTCATGTCAGGAGAAACTTCAAGGCACCTAGATTGAAATGTTTAGTGAACAATTACAAATCTTTCATTTTTTCTGAAGCTCAGTGGTTTAAATTTCTTTTTTGTATTCGAGGCTGTCAAATGGTTTAGTGTGTCATACCTTCTATTGTACAAGTTAGAGACAAAAGAAAAGGCAGTGATGAGACAGCTAACCAAGAACAAAAGCAATTCAAAAATTATTCCAAGTCAATGATCACTCTAGAGATATTTGGAGAAGACAAGAGTATAACTTGATAGACATTGGCGATGACTTTGGTAATTTTGGACAGAGGCATTTTAAGAAAATCATATTATGAGTTGGGTGCCACAGGCTCACTCCTGCAATCCTAGCTACTTAGGAGGCTGAGATCGAGAGGAATGAGGTTGAAAGCCAGTTCAGGAAGAAAAGTCCCCAAGACTGTCTCCAGAGTAACCAGCAAAATACAGTGGTAGAGTGCTAGCTGAGAAAGTGAGTCCAGTATGAGGCCGCGAATCCAAACATTAGTACCACATAAAAAGGGGGTGGGGAGAATAAAACAAAGAAAGCAGCATACTATGTAGGGCTTCATTGATTGGGAATGGGGAAACGAGATGGAGGAGGGTGCAGGGGTGCCAAAGTAGAGAAAACCAAAGCTTCCATGAACTTTCATGTTGAAAGAACACTAGCATGAAGGTTCAGTAGAGAGATGAGCCTGAAGACTGAAGTACAGGAGAACTAAAACAGAAAGGTAGTTGCAGCAGTAGGAGAAAACACACTGGGGGGAGAGATTAGCCTTAGAAAGAAGACAATGTGTTTCCTTTCCAGTGAAAGGAAAGGAGGAGGGGAAAGCCAGGGGAAATTTTATGGATTTTTTGATATGCAAGATTGAGTCCTTACTTTTGATTGAGAAAGGGTAGAGAGCTCACGGGATGAAAGCCCCACTCTCCTTACACAAGTTATAGCATAGCCTGAGTTACAGCATAGTCCTATAGTTGGAGCCCTGCATAAATAAAGTAGAAAATTTCAGTGGTTTCAGACTTCCCATGGATGAGTGCATTTTGCCACACAGTAGAGGAACCTCAATAAATAGGAAAGGGCACAAGGAATGACCTCTCTCTGCCAAGATAGACACCTGTTGCACAGGACTGTGTTTTCTCCGAAGTTCCAATCTCCAGTCGACACTCTTCTGTTATTGGGGAGTTCGTGCAGGCCAGGGTACCATCATCACTTGAGTGTCAAATCTGATAGTTCACCAAGATACAGTACAACCTGCTCTATACTTGTGATTTTCTATAAATGAACTTGAAGCACCTCAGACTGAATTTGAATATAGGAAATATTGGACTTTGTTTAACATGTTCGTATGATTGTGGAATACCTGGTCAAAGGGGTTTGGGGCCGCATTCGGAAAATCTCATGGATCCTGTCATTGTTAAACACTACTCAGTAATGGGTGACCTCATTCACAATGATCATTAGCTGGACTTATGGAAAGGAGGATGTCCATCAATTTTATTCTCCTGATTTCTCCCATCTAAAGTAGGGACTGTTCAACTATAAAGATGTCAAATCACACATTGTAGAATGAGGATTTTCTACTCTGTGTGTTTAGGAATGATAAATGATAGCTATTCTTTAAAAGGCTCTTATCAAAAGAAGTTACAGATTTTAATTTCTACAACTAGGAAATGCTACATTAGAGCCATTAAACATGAGCACACTTTTAAGACACAGAAAGATAGAAATAATTGAATTTAGGCTCAGAAGGGAGTTTAGGCTTAATGTTGTCCAATCCTTTGCCTTTAAGGTCAACTTAAGGTTTTCTTTAAGCTGGCTGGGGGATGCAAACTGGTGAGCTCACAAGTGTCCATTTCAATTGCTTTCCATTCTTCCATATGACAAATTGCCCAGGAACCAAATTAGTAAATGGTGCACATACTAAATCCTCAATGAGTATCTTCTTAATTGGTCAAATATATCTATATTCTGATCATTAGTACCCCCTGAGAGCTAGAGAGCCACCCTCAGAATGCAGTTTTTTTTCAATATCTAATAATAGGGCTATAAAACTCACAATGAGAAAATTTAGGACTTGCTATATATTCTCTTATATATTATTTTTTATTATCATTTTTTAGCCAGTCCTGGGGCTTGAACTCAGGGCCTGGGCACTGTTTCTATTTATGTGGTACTGAGGAATGGAACCTAGGGTTTCATGCGTGCTAGGCAAGCATTCTACTACTAAGCCATATTCCCAGGCTGCTCTTGCCTATTATTTTAAAGATCTCAATAATGAATTTGGGAGGTATTGAGGTATTCTAGATAAAAAAGAAATCTTAGCAAAGTTACTTAATTTGTTCCAGGCCAACCAGTCAAAACCAACTTCATTCCCCTGACTGCAGATATTATGCATTCTCTTTTCTATCTTATGCTCTCTCCAAGATACCATAGTTTCTAGGGAATGGCAAACCACAGCTTGTGAGGGAAGAGGCTATGGTGAAGGCGGTAGGGAAGAAGGGAATGTATCAGATCTGATATGAGACATTTATGGAGAAAGTGGGTGCCACAAAAAGTACACCAGAGGAAGTAACAATGCTTGATAAGAAATGTGCTCATTATCTTGCCCATGTAATTGTAACTCCTCTGTACGGTATTTTCATAATAAAAATTTTAAAAAGTACACCAGAGTCCACATGCTAGATGCATAGTTTCTGTTTCTATTTGGATGGTCCTATTAGGTCCATAGACTAAGCTACATAGACCATAGTTTGTCTCTGAAGAGGAAAAGGCAGTCTTGTACAAATTGGAAAGAGATGTTAGAAGACAACAGAAAGGAAAAAAATGCAGCTATTCTAGTCAGGATAATTAAACTTAGTCAAGACCTTATGTCGAAAAATGAACCTTACCATTTAGGCTGGGGGGCAGGTGTAGTTGAGGAAGTGGGAGGGAAGGGATAGTAGGGGAAAAACAAAGGAGGAGGCAACAATGCTTGATAAGAAATATAGTCATTACTTTGCTCACGTAACGGTAACCCCTCTGTATAGTATTTTCACAATAAAAAACATTTTTTTAAAAAAACTTAGTTCCTCTTTTGTCATTATGTTATTGTGATCCTAGATAAGTCTTTATGTCCTTCTATGCTTCAGTTTCCCAGTTGTAGAATGAGGTGAATTCAGACTTAGGATGCTCTAAGATTGATTTTCTAAGATGTGTGAGTCTATTAGAGACTCTTAGTGAGTCTCTAATATGTTATTTCTTTCTATGATTCGATTCCCATTGGTAGACACTGAAAATAACTTGGAAATTCTTATAGTATAATCTTGTAAACTAACAATTTGACCTTCATTCTTGTAAAAAATATAGTTGCCCTTTGTTTCAAACTTTAAAAAATTATTTGTATGCACTCTTGAGTAATCAGTTAACTTGTAAAAATAGCTGTTGATTAGGATATTAAGATTGGTTGTGGAATTACTTTTCTAGACTAGATACTTGATATAAGTTGGATAAACAACAAAAAGTCTGAGTCATTCCAGCATATGAACCATCACTATGAATCAATTACCAATCACTATTAGTACATTTTTGTCTGTAATTGTTATCAGTATGGTCAAAAGAGATGTTGCTTTATTTCATGATTTTTCCACAACACATTTAGATCAGATTGTAACTAGAGTTCAGATTGTAACTGAACCAGTGGAAAATTTCTAACGATCATTTTGCCAAGAAAGATGATCCAATTTTACTGTATAAATGAAGACCAGATTTCTCAATCAAATAACCAACCACTAAGTTAAGATTATAAATTTTGTCTCTGAGATATTTTTCACTTCCATGTTTCTTAGGGATTTTGTCAAGCTTATAGATATTAATTGTAGATTTTTGCACCATCGATAGAGTTTTAGCTTTGTGTTCATAGTAAATGAAACAATTTTAGGGAGCCAATAATATCACCAGAATAGTAAGAAAATTGGGTGCATATATTGTATACCTGTCATCTATTTTTTTAAAGAGAATTGCAAAAATTTAAAGACCTCTACATATCCTCTAAATACAGGTCATAGCTTAGATATGTTCGGCAAAACTGCAAATGAATTTTTAAACATAGAAAATATTTTTAATAACTGACACCTGAATTAGTGGGTAGCTATATGGGAAAGTATAGAACCTCTACTCATACTTCGTGAAAAATGCAAAATTAATGTAATATGAATCACAAACCTAAATAAAAAAGATTAAATAGAATAGTTTAAAAACTAATACATGGATTTTTCTCAAACTTGCCACAATAATGTTTTCCAATTTCTTCAAAACACTTACTTCCTTGTCATAATTTAATAGCTATCCCTGCAACTTGGAACAATCTTGGTGACTTGGTGACATATATATATATATATGTATATATATATGTATATATATATACATATATATGCTAAAATAAGCTAATAGTTGGAAATCAGAGGCAAAAATGTTCTTGTACATTCCTGCCCATGCTGAACTCAAATATTATTGGAGATATTATCATTTTTAATAGAAGTTTAGTATGCATATGAAACACCTAAACTGCTTCTCTCTCCCTTACCCACTCCCCACTGTAGAGCTAGAACGACAGCAGCATGCATTGGGCCACTTACCGGAGTCCATAGAGAACAGTCCCATCAGGATGCAGTCGGATCATTCGGTTTTTCACTGTCACTCCATGTACAAATGACTTCTTGTCATTCAGAAAGTAGGTGTCAGGAACCCAGAGTTGGTCAGCCACCCTGTTGTCCAGGGTAAGGTTTAGTGGGATTCCAGAATAAGAGAGCCTTTTGTCTTTCCAAGACTGCTGGAAGTACATGGTGAGTGTATAATCCTGGGAAATAAAGGAAGCCAGAAAGGAATTTTACTGTCATAGTTATCTAAGGTCTTTACTTAAGAATCTGACAGCATGTAGTACTGTAGATGCCTGAAGAACCTGGTAGATACTTGTGAGTAGGTTGGATTTTATACCTCCGGGTATAAGTCAAATGATAGGATGAAGTACCAGAACGATGCATGAGTGTGTGTATAAGCAATACAGCACAATTATACATGACTAAATCTTTTTGTGGTCGTACTGAGTTTTGAACTCAAGACCTTCTTTTGCTTGCTGGGGAAGTACTTTCCTACTTGAGCCGTTCTACAGCTCCCTCCCTTGTTAGATATGTACAAGTAGAATCTTTATGTTTTGTTACTGTTGTATTCTCCCATATATTAATCAGCATCAGTCTATTTTGACATGTCCCTACAACATACAATGTACCGAAACTTGACTCATCCTTGTCACTCTCTGTCATCTTCCTCCTCCCTTCCTAAACAATCTTGATAAGCATCATTGTTCTATTTTCACCTGTGTACATAAAGTCTGTTGGCCATTTTTACTTTCCTTCACCTTCTCTACTTACCCTTGTGCCTCCTACTGGTATCCGTAGCCCAGACAGGACCCTTTTACCTTCCCGTTATTTCTGTCATGTTTTGTCTTTTAGTGTATACATGCTACGTTTTCAAAGAGATTATCATTTGAGCACACATGCATATGCAGGCCTTTAATCATACAGAGCTCCTTCTCTGTTCTCTTTCTGCTTTACTTAACAGCTTTTGGTGAGTTTCGTTTTTTTCTACACCCACCGATTCAATACACTTTATTACTTGAGCCATGTCCCTAGTCCTTTTTGCATTTTTTTTTTTTTTGAATTGGCTTTCCTGTTTTGGCTAAGTTGGCCTGGACCACGACTCCCCTATTTACACCTCCCAGATCTGGGATGACAGATACATGTCACCATGCCCAGCTTATTAGTTGAGATGATCTGTCACTAACTTTGGCCTCCTGCTGGCCTTCAATCATGGTCCAGGTTACAGGTGTGAGCCACCATGCTTGGTCTATAATTGAATTTAAAGACTTAAAGGTAGTAATATGGAAGGAAATAACCAGTTTACAAAAAGTAATCACTCTTGGACGGTATGCTTACAGTTTCATTTTATAGTAGGAAATTTGATTAAAAAAGAAAAACAACTAAAAACAGATTCACTTAAGGGAGAGGGTGGTGTTTTTCAAGCAGCAAGTACACTTTTAAAAATTAATACATCTTTCTTTGATGCATAAAGATTATCCATTTTCATTTTCTGTATCTGTGAGTCACGGAAAGCAGTTGCAAAGCACATGTAGGTGGAGATGTTTACTTTGGCCTGAAGATTAACATCAGTGGTATAAGTGATCAACAGTTTCTTTTTTATGTTACTCCTGCTGTGTATAAGGAGTTGGTAAAATTTGGCATCGGATTTGTACTTGAGAGTGTGTTTCCTCACCTTCTGCAAAAGGTTAGAACAGAACATTTTGTGATTTTTTTTTCCTAACTGGGTTTTCCCTGGCAGCGAGAGACAGGAAGATTTGGGCTCGATAAATAGATCAAGCTACAGGGGAGGGATGATGGTGATTATCTAGTGCTTTAGTTATTGTCTATTTTAAAGAACTCTATTAATACAAAGTACAATTGCCCATTAAGAGAAAATAAATTGGCTGCAGTGTAATCATAAAGTCTTTAAGATATGGATCCCCACATAATAAAAACAAAAGGCTCCATTTTTCTTTTAAAGGACACTTACATGTCGATAGTGACTTTGTGAGTGGCTTAGCAAATACTCATGAATCTTGCACAACATCTGTACGGAAGTGGCATATGAATCATACAGAATCACTGACTCAAATCATGAGCCTTACATCTGGGCAAACTGGGCAAACTGCATCCCAGCTAGATATCCCTCAACTGATACATATATATGTATATATATGTCTGTATATACATATATATGTATATATGCATGCATTTTTGAAAAATCTTCTGGAGGATAAATTCAGTCCCTTAAACAACATATGCAACTACATGTTCACAATTTACTTGGAAACTATCTTGTAATATATGAAAGGCATGCTTTTTGTTACTCAGTCATAAGAATTTTTGCTTTGTACAACTGATCACAACTATTTCATTTACAAATCTGAAACCTTGTTTAATCTTACCTTCATACATACAAACTTTATATGGGTGCATGCACACATAGATGCATACACACCTGTGTGAGTATGTGTATGAAAACAATCCCTTCTCAATTACTACTGCTTCATTTATATCCTCCTTAAATTTTAAGAAAATGACATCTGTTTGGAAGAAAATGAATTGAACAGATTCTAAACCTTAAATTTCAAAACACCTTAACTTTAATATCTCCCACATGAAGAGCTATGTAACTACAGGAAACTCATTTTATTTGTTTCATTTCAGATGCCTCATTTTAAAAATAAATATAAAAATATCATTTTACTTCCTTATTGCAAATATGAAGGTTGAAAGTATGTTAGAAAGCTAGTTGCTGGTGGTGCATGCCTGAAGCCTAGTTACTCAGGAGGCTGAGATCTGAGGATTGTGGTTCAAAGCTGGCCCAGGCAGGAAAGTCACTGAGACTCTTATCTTTAATTAAGCACCACCAAAAAACCAAAAGGTAGAGCCATCACTCAAGTGGTAGAGTGTTAGCTTTTAGCAAAAGAATGTGTTAGAAACTGTAACATGATGAAACACATATATAGGTTTGGGTCTATATGTATATATAATGTGTGTGTATACATATATAAGTATATATATAGATACATGATTAAGAATTTTGTTCAAAAGGCTTTTGAAGATAATGATCATGGTAGTAATAAGGGTGGACAGAAGGACAGTATAGCAACGCTTAAATTCCACTTAAACACAACATCTCCTTACTCTGCTCACAGTGAACCACTCAGAGTAACAATCTCTCTTGTTGTATGGTATGATATCTACTTTTCACAACCATCTCATATCTATTACTACCTTTGGTTCTCCCAGCAACTAATGAGATACACTAATCCACTAGAACAGAATCTAGAGATTTCATGTTGCAGAAAGTATTGACTATTATAGATAATTTGTACCTACTATCCCTTACTTCACATACATCTTACCAGGGAAATTTGAATATAAGGAAATCTACAACCTCATTTGGATAGATTCTACTTTCATGTAAAAAAACAAGTGGATTAATAGCTGTTACGTTGTTCTACTACACAAATTTCATACTAACTCTTCACCAGATTAAAGAACAAGTACTCTAAAGAAGATAGATTTGTTTTTTTTTAAGAAAATATTGTGTGTGTATGTCTGTGGTGTGTGTGTGTGTGTGTGTGTGTGTGTGTATTTAGTGCTAAGAGCATTGAAATTACTTTTTCTTTCAGGGCTGCATCTGGAAGAATTAGATGTATTCAACCAGTTTTCTCACTTATGCAAGTTTCTTCTTGAGAGAAGTGCAACACGTTTCAAAACTATGGGCTACAGGGAATTCTGTGACACTGAAGTAAATTAATGGGATTAGCCGTGTGAGATTGCTAATGAAATTGGTCAGGCTAATTCAAGCATGATAGAATTTGATTCGTTGAGGAAAGGCAAGAAAGGTTATTAAATCACTAGTACTCAGGAAACTCCTCCAAAAGAATATACTTTGTGAATGTAAATATGAGTAAAGATTGGAGAAAATCATTATAATAACTAAGTCATTCTTTTCTGAGATAAAGATACCATTCTATTTTAGATATGTAATTTTAATGTCAGAGAACCTTCCCTCTTTAGTCTATATTTAGCAGTGTCTGACGATAGATATGGCTGTCATAACTAGGGTAGTGGTAATAGGCTTTTGTGCACAGAGGTCAAAAGTCCTCTTGACCTAATGAGCCCCCCACGACAAAGGATTTGCTGGCTCAAAACAGTCACAGTTGAAAATTGTCTCTTGTCAAGGTTGAAAAACCTTGCCTTTTATAAAGTATTCTTCCTTTACACATTAGGAAAAATACTTTGTTATCTTGTTCTATCACTTAGTATGAAAAATGTGTATAGTAGCCTATTTTCTTGAGCTTTTGACAGAGCTCTCCAAAGTTTCTAGTATGGAATGCTGATACAATATGGTTAGTCATTTACTATTTTGCCCTAAGAACTAATTTGCTAAAAATTCATTATCTAGGATTAGATTAGGGAAAATAGTTATGGGTTTAAGGCAAATGAATCGATCTATTCATTTTATAGAATGAGTTTGAAGAAAACTCCACAGTAAGCCTGAAAAGTGAGTCTCTATTATCTGCCTTTGCCAACAGCAGGCTTTAATGTTAGCAAAAATACAGTACATTCCCTTCATCCAAAAGGAATCACACACACACACACACACACACACACACACACACACACACACACACAGGAAACACAGTTCTGTAGCTGGGTGCTAGTGGCTCATGCCTGTAATCTTAGCTACTCAGGGGGCTGAGATTTGAGGATCGTAGTTCAAAGCCATCTTGGGTAGGAAAGTCCTTGAGACTCTTATCTCCAATAAACCACCAGAAAACCGAAAGTGGTTCTGTGGCTCAAGTGGCAGAGCACTAGCCTTGAGCTGAAGAGTTGAGGGACAGGGCCCAGGCTCAGAGTTCAAGCCCCATGACTGACAAAAAAAAAAAAAAAAGAATAGAAAAAAGAAACATAGTTCTAGTTCACATTTATATTTTATTTTTCATCCATTTTAATACATATGAGATGAGTGTATCATCACTGTTCCTTATGAAATATTCATGCCATTTCAGTTAAGTTCTATTGGTCTGCTCTTAAGAGTAAAGCAATTGTAGTAGAGTTCATCCCACAGTCTTCACCCTGAGGAAGATTACCCTACCCAATGTTAGTTACTTTTCATTGGGCCATGTCTCCTGGCATGCTAATCTTAAACTTTGTGGATAGACAGTAGACAGTGGATAGACAGACAAGAGAAGCTGGTTCACAAACA